GACTAATCTGCGAGCGTGCACGTAACTCTATATGGCAGCAGCCGTGCTTCGATGGATAACGCAAACAAAGCCTTCAGACTGTGATGTTACATTGTGGTGTGTGGCCATCAGGGATGGAGTGACATTCAAAAGACAATGTGCAGACACTCTGGCTGCCCCATGCAGTCGCACAATAAATTTTAGAAAAGCCCAAGCACCGGGGGATCCAGTAACTTAAACCGAGCCCCTTTTTTTCTCCAGTTCCACTTCATCTCTTTGTGTCTCTAGCCGGTGTCATCTCTAACCAAAACAAATCCAATAGCCTGCCTGAAATCAAGTCCTCTCCTGGACAAACAGATGTGCAGTCAGCCGGATCTCCAGCTGTCAGACTGGAGGCGATTTTTGTTGGTTGACCGGAGAGAAAAAATGGGTCACTATTATGCCACTGATAGCCGAAACAGTCTGCAAGAGGGCAGACACTCTGTCAACCAATGAGGATCCCATATGAGGGCACTGACGGAAAACAAAGACGCCCCATTTCAGTTCGTTTTGAACAGGCAGAATATAACTTATTGATTAAATATGAGCTTTAAAAAGGAGCTTTTAGGAATATTTGTAGACACGCAAAGTTCAGTCTGCAGTCGGAGACTTCCTGAGGTGTTTCAGTTGCCAGAGCAGATGTGAGGTCAGGAGTCCAGACCAGGTGGCTGAGATTTACTCTGATAGTTAATCATATCTCGCCTTCCATGCAGATGTTTATGAGTCGAAAGATGTCAGGGCCCCTTAATCAAAAAGCTTTTCATTCACAAGTCACAGACAATAACTGCTGGATTTACGGTGATTTACGGTAAAGAAACGTGCATTTTGTTTCCAAAACAGTGCGCATGCATGTGCAGGAGTTCCACATTTCAAAGCTCTAAACTATAAACATGTCAATTTGTCATCAAGCCACGTTTCCACACTGGTTTCTCTTTAATCCAGTGGCTCAGCTAGTGACCTCCTGAAATGTGCTGCGCTCTCTCCTTTTCAGTGTAATCAAACTCCTTTTAATCAACTCTTTCATATCAGAGCGCTATAAACATCCATTATTGTGTTACTGACTTCACACATGCCCAAAAGAAGAGAAACAATCCACAGCACCCGCTCACATCTGCAGAGAAAACACTCCATCTGCCTCATCTGATTAACTTCACTAACAGGACACGAACGCTGACTCACACA